CATATCTTCCTAAAAATAAGAAGCGTCCTTCCATCAAGGCTTGCATCAACTTATACTAATTACTAATCAATATATACTTACTCATCGACGGACCCTCCAACGAAGAAGCCGACGCCGACGCTTTCGAATCATAACACGACAAAGCTCGAGGTATATAAATTAAAGATTCTCTTAGTCCACAGACTCAAGGTTAACCTGAGACTATCCGTCGGAATATGTTGTTGGAGAGGTTAGTTCAAGATATGACGACATATATCATAATTATCGATATATTTCGCGGCAGTATGCACGACACTACTTTCGAGCACGGAAGCATTATGATGTTCGTATGAATCACATTTTTCTTTGGCTACGATTTCCGTGCAACACGGTGCGATCGACGCTTTGAGCAAAAGCATGTTTCTTCAACTGCGAATTTGTGCATCGCTGCGCTGCAGTAAGAAACAATGACCAATGATGCATGCTCCTTCGAAGATGGTACGAAATTACGAAAGTCGATCACAGCCGGAACTGCCCACCCCCGCACACTCGCACCCACCACCCCACACAAGCACGCTCTCACAGACAGCTCCCGGCAGGCCCTTGCAGATGCCTTGCAAGCGCAGGCCAGACAGCCCACACACCCCCGACCGGCACACCGGCACACACCCCGGCACACACCAGAAAGTAGCAACAAGAGAAACCAGACAGCTTCTGACAGCAGAATGCTTTCGGGACTATACTACTGATCAGTGCTAGCAGGTTTTGCGCTGCAACATTTGCGCCATTACTTCCCAAGGTTTGTGCGAGTATTCCGTGGCTTGCGCTATTACTGTGCACGCTTATCCGAAGAGCCCACCTTTCGATTAAAGAGAATAAATAGATGGTATGTAAGAAGACAATATATTCAACCGTATATCTTTTACACGTGAATCGATTTATCATTGTTCCAATTTCCGTAATACATATATAGATACATCTATATATATATATATACATATCCAGTATAACTATAATAAAACAATAATTCATAGCATATAATAGAACAAAGTGGAAAACAAGACATCAGCAGGAAAGAATTGTGTGTACATATATATATATATATACACACACTCATTTATTTTTTTATTTAATTATCTATGTATATATGAATTACTGTAGAATATAGCATAATGCAGCATAATACAACATAATATTATAATATAGTAGGCAATATTCTTAAAATAAAAGGATTCCTGATCAGTTTCGAACCGATAGAGAATTCAAGAAATCTTGAAGTTCGGTCCGGCTCAGATGCTAAGCACCTTGGAGCCACGGGAGCCACTTCTTCAAGATCTCAGGACTACCTCGGTGGCTTAGGTTTAGGACCTTGCGTTTAGCATGTTTAAAGTTAACGGCTTAGGACTGTAAGGTAAAGCCAAGTTTGTGGTTCGGTGAGAGTAGATGCGAGTGCGGGTTTTCCATTGGTTAGTACGTTGATTTTCTGTTCTGTTTACACGAAATCTTTGTATTTATCAGGGTTCTTGAAATGAAAAACATCAGAAGCAAGGAGGGCTTGTTGTTCTTAGTAACTGCACCCAGTTCCTTAAGCCCCGCTGAACCCTGAGCCTTGCAACATAGATGAACCTAAACCTAAAGTGTCCAATACCTCAGCATCTTCCGAAGCCCAATGCACAACACTAGAACCCAAGCACGAAAACACTAAAACCTACAAAAGCCCCTATAGTACAAACCCTGTCCTTGTAACACAACACAACAGGCGATTCACCATGCGCAGGACCGAGCGTCCGTACCACGGCTTTCCGGATGCGCGCTCTTCTGCCAGAGCGGAGCTTGGACCAAAGGCAGGGTACCTAGGATCCCCAGCAACCTAGGAATATACAGGGCTCCTGTTTTGGGTATAGGGTATATCATAAGATACCTAAGTTACAAAGATGGGCGACGGGAGACCGAGATACCTTGCGACTGCGAACTAAGGCTTACCGTTTTTTTGGGGATCCTACAGGTCTGTCTGACATGGTTTGATAATGGGATGCGAAAGCTTTGAATCGGGAACTGCCAATCGTAAAATACCCTGAGCCCAAAAACTTAAACCCAACCCCCAACCCATTGCAAGAAAAATAGTCTTGGAGCACCGGGATGCTTCGAAATTCGGATCTATCGGCTATTATCTGTGGTAAACTTCGGTCTTGGCATTCTTAAATCAAGTAGAAGCTTCGTCTTAACCTTAAGAGTTGAAAAAAATGAACGTGCTCAAACCCCTTCATTACTCATCCCCAAATCCTGAACTCTCAATCCCAAAAGCCGAACTTGCATCCTACGCCTGACTCCCACACATCAATCCTCAACCCTACATTACAAACCTTACATGCTGCACCTGGATCATGCTGCGTACACCCGAGCTAGAATTCAAATTGAAAACCACAGCTCTGGTTTGAATCTATGTAAATGTTTCTTCCATCTGCGTTATTTACGGCACCAGGCCCCAAAAACGGGCAGCGCAGGCAGTGTTACGAGAGACGGCTAAAGCGCTGGTGAGGGCAAAGGTTTTGAAGATTAGGACAAGTTTATCAAGGCTTGTGAGGCGAAGAACAAACGAAAAATGGTCTGTACGCAGCCACCCTTTGCAGATCGCCCCTTCGCTGCTGCAAGTTAAAGGGCTGGCAGACCCACGCTGAAAGCCGTGACTCGCAGAACATATCACCGTTATTGTTATTGTCATCGTTATCATCGTCGTCATACTCGTCGTTATCGTCATCGTCTGCACCATCGTGAGAAGCATCGTCATCATCATGGTTACCATCATGGCCATCATGGTGGGTAACATCGTCGTCATCATCTTGGACATCACAATCGGCAGCAGCATCGTTATCAGGCTATCACCATCGCCATGAGCATCGTTATCATGATCGTCATCATCGTTGTCACCCCAGTCATCGCCATCGTTTTCATCATCGTGGTTATCATCATCGTTGCAATCATCGTCGTATGGATATCACCATCGTCATCGCCATCGTCACCATCATCGTCATCACCATCGCCCTTATCGTCGTCATCATCATGTTCGTCACTGTCGTCATCATCATCGCCAGCACCATCACTAGCATCATTGTCACCATCGTCATCATCATCAGCGTCAGCAGCATCGTTCTCTAGTCATGAACATGTTGGGCGGTGGGTATTGGCGTCTGGGACTTTAAAAGAAGGAATGCTTCAAAACATGTTGGGTATCCTACTGTTCTTTCACGAATATTCTTCAACTACTACGGTATGTCGGAAACTCTGGGGAACCTTAGGCACCGAAACCGAACATCCATGTAAATCCCTAAACCCTAGCAAGCCTTTGTTTGGCCTTCGAAATCCTTGAATTACGCGGAGGGTCCATGGAAACAGCCCTAAACGCTCGATCTTTTATTTACCCGGGGGGTCCATGGAAACAATCCTAAACGCTAAACCCTACCGTTGCTTGGGCCAAGGGTCTCGGGTGCATGCGTCACTCCGTCTAACTCCAGCTTCTCCTGGCCGAGCACGGGGAATGGGCTTGCCTGGTTAAGGATTTAGAGATATACCTGGACCTAAGAACCCAACAAGCCAAACGTTTGCTGACTTGTATTGTATAAGGAGATCAAAAATCAAAGCTTGGATGTTTCAAAGGCTTGACGAGTCGGATCGTATTGCGCGGACCTGGCGGGGCTGTTATCGTCTAGTTATTTTAGATTTTTAAGTTGGGTCGGCGGCGGAAGTCCGAGGCAGAGCAGCTATGATGTGAGCAGATCATCGACTCTGGAGCGGTTTCGCTGATGGTATGCAGCTAACCTAGGAAAGGGAACCGAAAGAGGACTATGGTTTAGAACACGGCGGAGCATTTAGGCTAGGGTTTAGGGTTCCAACATCTACTTCCGACCAGGTATCCGTTGTGCAAGATATAAGAACAAAAGCTGATAGCGAAAAGGGTTCGGGGTTTGGGGTTTATGAGGGCTGCGCTTGTAATCGTTAGCGACATGAGAAAAACGCGACAATCGAACAAAACAACGACTGTTCTTATGTTTTCGAACATGATTTCTGTTTTTAACTCAAAGGGTCTCGACATATGGGGATAAGAGTAGCAGCTTTAGTTTTCACTACGGTCAAAACAGGCTGTTCAATTCCGATGAATTTGAAGAAAACGCCGTGTATACTTTGACACGATGACAGTCAGAACCCGCTGTAGAAAAGGGTTTAGGCAAGTTGTAAGGTCAAGGGTGGCGCCAAACGATGACAGTTGTTCCGACGCAGTACCCAGCAGCCCAACCGAGCCTAGCCCCGCTCCCCCGGCCCACCAATTCCAAACACCCCCAACCCCGGCTCAGTCCCAGCCCCCCCTGCCAGAGCCCAGCCCGCGGCCCAGAATCAAGTTCAATTAAAAACCTTCTCAACACGTTTCGGTCAACACTTATTGGCACCCAAAGCCTTTAACAATTTCTACAGACTCTCTAAACCCTAAAGCCCTAAACGCTAAAGCCTACACCCTGAAAACCAGGATTTCTATAAACTGAGGCCTTTGCGACAGAGTTACATAAAAGTTCAAGCAAGCCCTAAAACAGCAACCCTACGGCCATGGAGCAGGAAGCATTCTAACCTTGGAGACGTGATGGCCTTCATCATGTTTGAGCCATCAAAAAGCAGTTTTTATATGAAGGCCATCCAGAGCATCAAGATCATCAGGAAATATCAGGATCATTTGAAAAGTGATTTTTTAAAGCTATGTACAATGACATAATGACATATTTATGACAGGATGAATGTCCCAGACAGTTTGTTATCATGAGCATCAAAATTTGCATCATGCCGACCTAACACATTGGAATTCGCAGTTTCTTATATTTGTTCAGAAGGCCCGGAATTCCGGTTGGGAGGGACCCACACGAAAAAAATACAGAAAAAACAACTAACAATTCGATAGACAAGCCAATCAAGTTGAAACCCTGTTCGTACTATTCAACCGCTTGAATCAACCTGGACGTATACAGGTCTACAGTTACCATATATAACCGGCAGGTTACCCAGGATCTATAGAAAATGTATACACATATACATATACATATACATATCCCAAACCCCGAACCCCAAACCGTAAACCCTAACCTTACAACTCTAAACCTTAGCCCCAAGTCCTCTTAACCCGAAAGCCCAACCCCAAACCCTAAACCCTAAGCCCAAACACTAAGCCCTAAAGAAATTTGAATTCCCTACCCCCAAACCCTAAACCTTCAACCCTACCCCCGAACCCTAAGCCCTAAACCCCAAGCTCTTAATCCTTAAACCCTCTAAAGCCCCAACCTTAAGCCTTAAGCCGTCAACCCTAAGCCCTAACCCCTTTAGGGTTTCAAGACCCATTCAGGATATGGGCCTCATCCTAAACATCGAACTCTCCGAGACAAGGTTCCGAGTTCCAGTTCTACAACATCCACTTTGTGAGAATATATTGTAAATGCATAAAGGATTTGCACGTATCCGGAAACAGGCTTTAAACTTATGTGGCTTCATGGGGCCTCTATCGAGGCTTTCTGGTTTTAGGTTATGGAACTTCAGAAGTTCTGTTTGGGTTCACTGGCTTGGGCTCAAGGGCTTTATAAAGAAGCTGCACTGATTGCTAAGATATTACTGCAAATGGTAGGGTGCTAGGCTTCAGGATGTTTTCAAATGATTTCCAGATGTACCGCTGCAAATAGTATAATAGAGACAGCATCCATAAAAAAAGATTCGGCCTACCCCCTAGCCCTAGCTGTCTTCCCTTGCATTCCCAGCTTCAGGTTTGAAAGGTCTGGGCCAGTTAGTTAAGGTCGGGGAAACCGAAAGCAGAACTCTAGCTTTGAATCTTAAGCAAGCACGGTTTTGTGTTTCGGCTTCGGCAGGTTGAGCTGTTCAGGGTTTGGGTCTCAAGAACTCATTCGGGATGAAGGATTTAATGTAGGGATGTCAGGAAGGACCAGCTTCTATTTTGGGATTTGCGGAGTTCACAATCTGAATTAGCCCAGGTGGCAGATCATGTGCACAGTCATTGATTTAGGGAATTAAGGGTTTTTAGGGTTTTTGTTGTTTCGAAGCAAAGCTTGTTTACTAAAGTAGAGCATAGTTAACCCCACAGTTCCCCAAAGCCCCTTTTGCAAGCCTCAGAGCCGATCCCTTTGGCCACGAGCTCCAAGCTCTGCAAGGCTTTTGGTTATAGCAACTATTTGGAACCCTATATATGTACACTAATTGTTGTAGGTACCTACAGAGGCATTATGCTAAATAGCTCCACCTAGTGTACTGTTCTGTACATCGGTAATTACATAAATATATATGGGATCAACCAGCCTATCATTCTTAGTACATATGTATATGGCAGCTACAAACTAGCAACCGTCCGCCTTCAGAGCTGCCTGCAAGCTTCGCTTGACAACTACAAGGAAACGGTACAAACAGTTAGTCGACATCGTTCTGTAGTCCATCTTGCGCTTCATCCTCATGACAGTCTTTATGTAGTCCTCGTCCATCCATGTCGTATCCTGGCTGGGATTGCGCCGCGACAAGCGCTCCACTGCATCGTCGACGGTGTGGTTTACCATATGCATCTTCGGTCGGCACTTAAAAAGGTATTCATGGTTGTTGAGCGCCTCGTTCGCCAGCTTGATGTAACTGGTAAGCCAAAGGTTGCCCACACCATATACTGTAGCAGCTTCATCTTCAGTCAGAAACGGACCTCCATGCTGAATACAGCTCATGAAAGTATCAGCCGCCCATAAGTTCACGACTAAGCCATTATAGCGGGGCGGTGCTTGCTGCTGGACCTTGGCCACCAAGTACCTAAGGAAGACCATGGCATCATGTCCGGAAGCATGTAGTTCAGGGCACGCATCGGACTTCCAGGCAATGGTTTCCTTCTTGACCCCAGTCAACGACAGCTGCATGCCATTGGAGCTTGCAAAGCTTCGAAGTTCACGAGAAAGAGTTCTGAAGCGTTTTTGGATGTTCGAGCCTTGATAATAATGCTTGTCTCGCACCAAAATCTTAACAGTTGATCCAACAACATCCCGCAAGCACCCAAGATTCCACGTGTGCAACAAATCCGTGGCAATCATCCTCATGGAAAATCCTACCAGCCTTGATAAGGCTGGTGCAGCATTCCACGGGTCCATCACGCCCCTCGTCGCTCTCCAGCCGGCACCGTTGGAGACATCTGTGTAAACACGGTCAAAATTTGCAGACCGTCCCATGGAAGCCAAGCAGAGATGGCATACCTTCAGGGCATGCAAATCTTTGAGGATACCACAATAAATAGCCGATACTGGTAAATCCTTGAGGATCGGGTCTTATAAGTTTTGGTTGACTTAATCACAGCTCCTTGCTGGCTTCAATACAAGCCATATATTAACTTGCCTCTTCACTTCCAGGATGGCGCACCAGGTTGAAGGCTTGCTTGAGGAATTTTAAGTCTCCCTTCACCGAAACCACAGAGAAGAAGATCGTCTTAGTTCTCCCAAATATGAAATATAGAGTTAACCAGTGTAAACCCAACAAAGAAACACAAAGATCCCGATCCAAGAGAAGCTTTCATAAAAACACCCATTGACTAAACACCCATACCCATATATTGTTATCTTGCTACAAGGATCTCCGAATTTCTCATCCGGCAGCCCCTCGGTTGCAAGTTTGTTGAGGTCGTCGACAATACTGTCATACAGGGCTTGAAGCGAGTGGTTCACTTTGGCATCATCCACATGGTAGCGGCTGACTGGCAGGGAAAATATGATGTATCTCGATGCCTTGCCATTGGTACGGTACTTGCACAAGTCCGGCGTCCTAGGTCATCTTTGGATTTGTTCACAACCCTCCTAACCCTAACTATAACAGAATAGATTTGATAAGATGGTTAGGGTGCTTAGAAGAATTCGGGTTCAGGGCTATATATGCAAATGTCAGGGCACCACGTACTCACCATCCAGCTTTTTCTTCGAACTTGGCCTTCATCTCCCCAAATAAGAATAGGAACAGTCCTGGCCCAGTTTTGAGGCATGGAGTGCATAGGATGGTTCGGGAAATCTCGTAGAATCGTAGCCCAGTAGGATGCCAGCACTTCGAACGGAGCCAGCGTTTCCCGAAACCCTTCGCGCAACAAAGCTTTGGCCTGAAATGGACAGCTGACAACATAAAGGATATGTTGGGGGTGGGTAGGCCTAGGGTTTTTAGGAGGGTTCAGGGTTTAAGGTTAACTGTACTGGTATTTCTTCATAAATCAAAGGATTTGCAAGCCTACTTGCAGACCAAAGGACCACTTGACTCGGAAGAAGAACAGGCCAACTCTCAACAGACACCACCTGATCCCCATCCTCGTTGGGAACCGTCACAGGAATTTGTGTGTACGAAACCTCCGCATCTAAGGCTTCTCCAGATAATGCCACGCGATTGTGGAATTCCACCTCTCGCAATGGCCGGGTGTCGTATCCAGCCAGCAAATGCGATCCATAAGTATCTCCTCAGCGATTTTAACAAGGTG